TCGGTTTTATATAATTCAAGCATGCCTAGGGTATTACGATTTCACCGTACAAATGAATTGAAATACAATGCATCCTTTCATAGCAGCAAACAAAGGAGTTAACTCGTATCATCTGCCAAACCAAGATCCAGAATATTCCAGGTTTTGTTTTTTTAACCAAAAACTCATTGGCAAGTTAGTACTGTATTGCTTTGTCTATGCTGCAAGTACAATGTCGCTTAATTTTCAAGGTGTTTATCACTTTCCAAAATGGAATTTCATAAGTTTCATTCAACACCTACATCTAGAATTGTAAATTCCACCGAAAACAGAGTTGGGAAGGTATTTTACATTAAAATAGAGATAATTTAAATTATATCAACTGGTGTAGTTAAGCAGGAGATATGGGTAAAGTCATCTTCCCAGAGGACAATGAGCACAGGACCAGGTAACAGCTGGGCTTGGCTCGTGAGAACGTCCCAAAGAAGTCCAAAATCTGTACTCTCATGTTCATTTACTTATTTTGTAAATACTTGTTCAGATGGCAGAATAAATCTGTGGTCTGGATGTGACTTGTTACTAAACTCATTTGTGAGACAATCTTTTGAGAAATAAATTCTACTATGCTTCAAGTAAATATGCATAGGTTTGTTTGAACTCCACATGGTAATGAATAGCATCAAATCATGGTGGAATGGTTTGAATGTGTCTCCCAGTGTTCACGTGCTGGAAACTTAATTCTCCACGCAGTAGTGTTGAGCTGAGCTCTTTAGGAGTTGATAAGGTCAAAGGGCTCTGTCTTGATAAGTGGATTCAGGCCATTATTGTTGCAGTGAGTTGCTCGTTGAAGGGTAAAGGATGAGTCTGGCGTCCTTCATCTCTTATGCACATTGTTGGTAGCTCTTTTCTCCCTTCTAGAATGGGTGGTACAAGAAGGCCCTGGCCAGAAGTGGACTGCTCACCTTTGGACTTCTCATCCTCCAGAGTCATAAGAAGCTAGACTCTGTTCTTTGTAAATGACCCCTTCGGAGGCATGTCATCATAACAATACAAAATGAACTAAGATATATGGATACTTTCCAATCTTTCTTTTCTTCCTGGCAAAGTGAATTCAAGCATAAAATCCAATGAGTCCGTAGCCAATGTTGCCTGTACAGATCTGAGATGAAGGCACCTGTCCAGTTTTCTGTTCCCCTCAGCCCTCGGATTAGAAAGAAACACAACTGATTGAACAGTGGACTTCAGGAGGTCAGTGTTAAGTGTTCTCAAGTGATGGTAAAGAAAATTTCATATTTTCTTGGCAAATAAATAAAGAAAATATAACTAGTGAAAGATTAAAATTTAAACCAGAAGAAAATATAAACAATGATTTAAAAAAACATGAGACGCTGGATCTGAATGAAGTAAATGTAAGATATATTTTTGCCTTTAAAAAGGTTTTGGATTCAAATTCTTTCATTATTCCTTTCTACTTTTCAGACTCTACTACTCAATATCTCACATATTGAATTATTTCTGTAGATATTCATTTCCCTCAAATAGGATGTTTCCGCCTCTCCTGAGCAGTCTAGGCAGAGGCCCTTCACGAGCCTTGGGACACTAACTCCGATCCACGTACCTCCTCACAGCAAACCTGACTGAAGGAACTGTACTAGCCATTGCTACTTTCGCTACTGACATATTTTATATTTGCTTCTTATCTGTTAAATCTGAAGTTTGTCACTTGCAACAACTATATATCTCTTCCTTTGCAATTTTTGTGCTACACCTAGCACCATATTAGCATCTTGCAGATGAAAATGTCCTATGGTAATAGCTAATATTGACCTGTCCCACCATTGGGCAGTTTTTCTTTCACAGAACTGCATCCTGAGATCAGGAAATATCCACTTGTCCAATGTGTATTAAGTGGTTTGCACAATGTTAGACATAGAGTTAATCTTCAGTTAACATAGGTAAGGATTTTTCTCATTCAGGGGCTGTCAGTAAAACTCTTCCTTTCTACTTTCAGAAAAGGAAGTAGGGATTTTATGGTAGCGAAGCTGGCAAAGGTCATATCTACTTTCTGCATGCTCCCTTTAAGTGATGTACCTGGTGATTTGCTGGGGTGGGGAGGGACAGGTATGCTCCACCTGGCAGTGAGGAAGGATGCAATAATAGTGGTGAGGCAAGCATTCTAGCTAAGGGAACTACTCTAGGCATTGCTACTTTCGCTATTAAAATATTTTATATTTATTATTTTCATGATAAGGCTGAAGTTTTATGAAGACAAGAACTACGTCCTTTTCCTTTGCAGTCCTCTGCTGTGCACAATCCCAAGGTATACATTGAAAAGCCTTTCAAAAATGAGTGATAAATGAATGCATACATAAGACACCACTTACCTTACTTTTACTCTAAATGTTAGCTTTGGGAGCTTAAATGGTGAACACGTGAACTGTATATCATATTTTATTTGTTACAAATAGATATTAATCTTTGTATACAGAGTAATACTACTCCAGAGGGAGTAGTATTAGTGAAGAGTCATTACCTGATCATAATCAGCTAAGGTTCAATGATGATAATGTGTTACAATCTTAGGAAAGTAAAAATCAGCGGGTTAATGTTGACTAAACAGAATAATATTTTTATTTTTCTGTTGACCGTAAGACTTAATATTACTAACATTTAAGGAAAATACTTAGTAAATAATAAAGAATATAATTAGAAATGAGTAGATTTATGATACAAGCTACCCAGACTTTTAAAACGATCCCCTTCCCATACACAGTAATCACTTAATCTTGCCTGAGTTCATGATTTTCCTATCACATAAATAAGGCTCCACATACCAGATGTTACGGGCATTATGATCAGGTAATGACTCTTCACTAACACTACTTCCTCTGGGAAATACGTTTGCATTAATGTCAATTCCACCTTATTCTGGACTTTTGAACCTACTTTCTTTCACCCCAGATGCAGGCTTTGATCCTTCCCAGCGATCATATTTTGTTCTGAATACTTGAATGTAAAGTGTTAGTTTTCTTCCCACAAACCTTTGGCATGGGTCCTCCCTTTCTGTTCTAAATGACTCTTGATTGTTACAGTTATAATTTAACATCTTCCTCACCATCTTTAGTCCAGTTCCCGTTCCTGGTCTAAGAAGGGATCACACAGGAACAGCTTCTCTGTTCCAACTTTGTGAAGAGACGGAAAGCATATTTTATGAGGCTTCAAAGACTGTCATCTTCTTCAAGGCATTCTAGGAAGGTCGCTGTTGGGAGTTCATTAAATTTGTGATTTATAAAATCCACTCATCTGAGTATGTCTTAAATGCCAATGTATGATGAAAAGACTGTTCCCATGAGCGATAGATCTGACTTGGACGCCTAAGAGGTGGGAGCTGCTGGGAAGCGACCGAGGACAGCCATTTCTTTCGGCTGAATCATGGGCACTAGGGATTGGCCAAGAACATCTGAGTAGAGTGAAGCAATTTCTATGGAATGAGCTCTGGCCAGGAAAACACACTGGTGCTGGACAAAGGGAATGCAATATCTGTGGCTTCAGTTCTGCTGGAGCAAAATCTTAATTAGTCTGATTCCCTGTGTTTGGCTTTCATCATCTTTTAGATGTGCAGAGAAATGGATAATAATAAATGAGCACCTGAAATGTATTTCTTTTCCTTGAGTGTTGATAGTATATTCTTTTCCACAGGGGAAACTATTAATTTGCATTTATCCTCATAAGAACACTGAGTATTTTCTTACTTTAAAAAATTGCATGCCCATTGTACAAATGGGGAAATTTCAAAAACATGAAGATTATATTTTGCCAACTAGTAAAATATTTATCAAACTTTCAGTATAGCTTTTCAGTATTCTATGTATCATGTAACTTATTTATGATCATGACATCCTGCTTGCTGCCACTTACAAATGCAGTATAAATGTTTCCCCATTTACTTTTATATGTCTTTTGAGACTATTTTAAATATAGCATGTATCTTAATGACCTTACCTGTGCAGACTACAATTTCATAATCACCCTTCCCCTTGTGTTACTACTGTGGTTGCTACTATTTGAAATTCTGTTTTATTTTCTCTTACATACAGATACTAAGTGTAAGTGGTAAAACAAAAGATAGATTTTCCCACTGTATGATGTCAGTACCTCACAGTAAACTCAGTGCAGGAAAGGTGGGTACAAAACATGTTTTCTGTCCATAGTAAAGTTCAAAGGTGGACAATGAATTGCTTACCTTTTAAATCAAACATCTATTGTCAAGTATAATTTTCACAAACTACACAGAAAATTGTCTTTCTTATATGTTTTATCAAGAAAAAATTTGGAGGACTGGAGAGGTTTATTATCTGAAGGTAACTATTTTTTATTTACAGTTTGTATGTTTAAGCTGTATAGTATCTTCTTATAAAATCTCATTAGACAGGAGCTCTGGTGCTCTTCACTTATGCGTATTCATTTTCTAAATTACTCTTAACAAATGAATCTTTTATATTCACAATATAAATCCCATCCAATATTTATAGAACAAAAAACAATGGGCATTTGTGTATTTTGTGTTCAATAACCGTTCATGTTGAATTGTCCATAGACAGCAGTAAGAAAATAATACAAACCTATCAATATTAAATACCAAATCTTAATCGCAAATAAGTTGTAATTGGATTCAATTGCAAATGGGTTTTTCCCTCGAAGCACAGTTGAAAATTACAGATTTTTTCATTAGAAAATAAAATCAGCTGCTTAGTTCTAAAAATGTACTGTGACAAGGGCAAGGACATTTTATCTTTGCTAGTTTTGCTTCTTGGAAGCAACACTGTTCTGGTGTTAAGTACCCGGATGTTAGTAATTTATTTTATGGGGTAAATACTCCATAAGATAAAACCAAATGCAATGTGCTGACGGGGGGGAAGCATCATAAACTACTTTAGACTTCCGTTGCCTCAGTCCTCCAGATATCTTCATTTCAAGTATTTCCTGGGCTTATAACTGTTAAAATTAAGTCGAGAGCAAATTTCAGCTGTACTTCATGCTTTTCTTCGTCCATTTTTCCCATGTGGATTTTTGTCTTTTAGCGTCACCTGAAAGTTGACTACCTTCATTTCCACTCTTACAGAAAAACCAAAGCAAGATAAAAATGTAAAAAAGGCTTCAAGATCAAACCATAATCTGCTTCTCAGAACATTTGGCTAACACAAGACTGGAGAGACGTTCAAGAGGGAGAGAGTTGGAGTGTGTTTGGCAAAGGTGAGGCGGAAATTTCTCCATTTCTGGTAAGGAAAAGTCTCACTTTATTCTCATGAGGGGCCTTGTCTAGACACTGGTAAACGCTGCACTAGATGTGCAACCGACAGGGACATTTGTGGGACACATTTTGCCAGGTTTTGGATGACGAAGAGATTTGACTATGCTAAAGGACTCAAAATATAGAAGCCATTTTCTTTCAAAGTGTGATGTGCACATCTTTAGGCTAGTGTTTATAAGTCTATCTTTCAACAGTCAGGTCTCTCAGTGCTTGCCCTTTAAGCTTTGTCTTCTTATGTAGCCCCTCAGTAAAACCTAGCTCCTAAGAAGAGATTAACTCTTAATCTCTGTAAGTGATATAATTCTCTAGGTCATGAACATCAAGAATCCAAGAAGAAAAATCCCCTTATATGCGGGCATGGGTACACTGTGTGTAGATTGTAAGCATGTAAGTGTGAAAATCACAAAAGAAGAACTGTCACTGTATTCATGTTTTTCCAAACTATAAATCAGCATGTATTGCATCAGAAATGGTTTAAATGGAAAAGATGAGCTTTTCGTATTGAATGCAAAATGAGACAAAGTTCTCTTAGAGGTGAGTTTTAGAAATGGCTCTAGGCTAAACTTTTGATCTGTTTTAAAAATATTATCTTCAAATAAAAAATAGTGTTATAATATTTAAGGAAGAGTACTCATTTCGTTAGTGATCTGTTTGAAGCAAAGATCTCAAAATCTTTAGAAGAAACTGGAGGATATTTTGGTGAATTCTGAAAAGAAGAAAGACGCTAAGCTTTTGAAAAGAAAATAAGAAGTTTTTTTCCATCTTTTCCCCAAGATGGTATTCTTAATTGTTAGCACAGATTTTACTTTTAAGTGTAAACTCCCTTTGTCTTGCCCTTTTCTCCTGTTGTCTTCGCTAGGTCCACTTTCCAACTGAGTGTCTTAGTGAATGAAAATCTGAAGGTGGAGTAGTCTGAAAAAAAATTAGCGGAAAACGGTTGCTTTTCAATATTCAGCTACAAGAGCTGAAACTCCTGTGCCTGGTTACCAGCAAAAATTCCATCCCAGCTGGAGAAAAATCTGTCCTGTCACATCAGAGAGCTCAGTGTCTTTTAGACTGGGTTTGAATGCATCCCAATTAAGTGCTTTGTAGAAATTGTAGACTTGGAAGGACAAAGTGAAGGTTGACGCTGTCCATAGTGGTCACATCATGCAGCTGCCTATAGCTGGGGAAAACCTGATTCTCAGCACTAAATATATTTACAGCTCCTTCGTATAGAATTGTCAAGGTTTATCATATCTTGGGGAAGAAATCAGAGATTTTATATTTTCAAGTGGAGAATGAATATGTACTGATTCAGTCTGGTTTGGGCTGGTCCTCCTTGGCTAGTGATTATTGGTATTTAGCTCACGATGGTTCATTAAAGACCCAGACACAGTTTCTTACTGTCTAACACAAGGAAATAGCAAGGTTTGTCTATATGATAAACATAAGGTATGGTAGAGATCTGGTTAAAGTTAATAATGCATAAAGTCACAAGGAGACTGGCTCTAGCTGACCAATAGGAAAGCAGAGGGACTCTTACATTGCTTTGGTCACTGGTGAAGAGACATATGAAACCATTTGGTGGGGTGATGTTAATAATTTCATTCAAATGTGTCTGGGGTATGGGGAAGAGTAAAAGGACCCAATTTCAATGATAGACACAGCTAACGCCTTAACTTTCTGTCTCTCTTGGTTCATCCAAAATGGTCAACCTCCTAATGAAGTCTTTGCAAGTGAGAAAAAGTGATGAAAAGTCCAAGGAGAACCATTAAATATAACTTGCCTTCATCCAGATTATATTGCCTTTCTCTTTAGCTGTCCTGGTCTTATAATAGGAAGCTGCTCCCTGTTGAGAAGGACAGGAGCTAATGTGCTGAAGGGGCTCCCTGGCGCGTCTATCTGTGGCGACTTCTCCTCTCGATTCATCTGCCACATGGTAACTGTTGTTGCACAGCAATAAATCCCTGGGGACAGAGGACAACAGCTCAGGGGGCCTGGCAAAGCCTGGAGACAAAAACAGGCCATCTGCCTCATGGAGAAATTGACAGGAGCCTCAGAACAGATGCATGTACCTCTTCACCAGAGCCAGATGGATAAGGAGGGTAAATGGGACCCAAAATTGATTCTGGAAGGTAAATAAGCAAGAGACACTGAGGAGGCTGGTTTCAAATAATCAAGTGCAAATTTGTTAAGTCAAACTTCAGTCTTCCATTGTGTGGCTTCTCTCTGATTTTGCACTTCTGTCCTTCATGGTTCTTTCAAAATGCGTCTTCCTAGCTGCAGTTGCTAGTGTAACTTCATCTAAACGTGATTGTTATATTCATGACATCCCTGCACCTTTTGACAATTCCTATTTTACCCATCCTTGGGGCTCTTTTTTTATGAAAAAGCTACCCTAATGTAACTCACCTGGACTCTTTCTGCCACCGACGTTCACCATGTACTGTTCATGCCTTTCGTTTAATAATGATATTGAATTGTGCCTGGGGTACAAATTTCAAATATTTTACCTCCGAAGGTAAGATTTGATCCAACCAAAGACCGTATCTCTAATTCATCTGTGTAAATCTCTGCCTGGCCATGCAGCAGTTGTATTCGGTTTCTAGAGGCCTTGAACGTGTTACATTGTTTTCCATCGTGTAACTTCAGTGCGAGCCTCCACTCAGCGGCTATCAGAGAGGAAAAACAGCAGTCAGACAATGGGAGGAAGAACGCAGAGAGAGATAGGGGATGGCTTCATCTCAAGCAAAGTTTAAAGTAAGGGTTACTTAGGGACAAGGTAATGTGCGCTGGACATGGTTGTGCACACCTGCAATGCCAGCATTCTGGGAGGATGAGGCGAGGGGTTGGCAAGTTCCAACCCAGCCAGGGTACTTAGCAATTTTAGGAAACTCCTGTCTCAAAATGAAAACTAATGAAAGAGCTAAGGATGTAGCTCAGTGTAAAGGTACTCGCTTCAGTCTCCAAAACTTAAAAATTAAAAAAGACTTATGGAAGAATAGTTTCTTCAGAGTAAGGAAGTAGGGGACATGGGGAAGAGCGAAGGGATACCAGGTGCTGAGGGGAAAATACTCAGTGTAGGTTTTTGCCAAGTGACATTCGGCTTCCTTGATCTTCATGGCCAGCCATGGCATGCATTTGGAGACAGAGCTGGAGCAACAGAGGAGAATGGGAAGGAAACTGTGTTAATTGTGATGGATATATTTTATTTCGTGATATTCAGGTTGAAGTTGCTAGAGATTTTTTAGCCTCTTTCTTATTTTTTTCTGTGGCTGAGGAATAAACCAAATATAAACAGGAAAACACAGTTAGACCCCCCCAAAAGTTAAGAAAAGCCAAAATTAAACTTGAATTATTTTATGGTTTGTTCAGAGATACAATATCAGAAAGTAGATGCTCAATTAGAGACAAGAATAATAGCCTGTTCTGAGTTGCTGGACTTTAATTATTCCTTTTTAAAATGAGTATCTCGGGGCTGGGGATTTAGCTCAGCAGCAAAAGTGCCTGCCTGGCAAGCGCAAAGTCGTGAGTTCGGTTCCCGGTACTGGAGAAAAACAAAAAAACAAAACAAAAAAAAAACAACTAAAATGAGTATCTCATATAAGAGTATATACAGACATTTACACATGCCTATATCTCAGACATTATTAAATTTTCAGGTAATATTTGTATACTTTATGCTCAGATTTATGCTACCAGGCTTTAAAAGCCTATGCATAGAAGTAAGACTGCTCTCACGTTTATACTACCCTGCACTGATAATTCATACTTAATGTGCCCGTATTGCTTCTGCTAGACATCAGCTCCCCCCGGAAGCCCCCAAGTGCACCTGTTTCTGTGGTCCTGGCAGTGCACCACTTACGTTTCCTGTGAGGACAAGCCTGCCGGGCACAGCCAGTCTGTAGTCATGTCTGAGCTGTAGCTCTCCAGCACCTGCTGTCATGTTCTCTAGAGTTCTGCCTGTGTGTGATTTGTGTGTAAATATGCATCTATCTCTATCTCTATATGCATGTATCTACATATAAATATATAGCAATATTTGTACACATGCAATATACCTATATGTATATATGTATACCTGTATGTATATTTATATTTATATGTTTCTCTCTATATGTCTATATATGTATATATAGATGGAGAGAGAGAAATTGTACAAATAACATGCATGGAGAGATAGAAGCCTAAATTCAGCTGGCTAAGCTCATTTTTGCCTCAGTTCATACTCCTGCTCTGTGTACCAAAGAAATAGAAAAATTAAGTAAAGAACAAAGTAAATCAGATACACAAGGTTAAATATTGTATGGTTTCTCCTAGATGAGAAACACAAAGTATAAATAAAGAGCAAAATAAGAGATAGATAATAGGGAACAGGGAGACAGATCTTTTACAAATTGGAAGAAGGCCATGAGGGGAAGGGGAGAGGTGGGGGAAGGAGGAGGGGACATAAAAAGAATTAAGACGTGTCATGTACATGTATCAACTACTCACAGGACTGTATTCATTATGTACTATAAATATGTATCAACAAAAGAATAAATAAATGAATGCTCTTAGAACACCCAAGATTGTTAGTTTTCTATGAAAACAACTTAGAAAGTATGTCTACTACCTCTCCAGCTCAATTTCAAATATTACTAGTAGGACACAGCCTCCATTAATTGAGCATACAGTTCTTGAACTTGTGTGTAAACTCTAAAATAACAGAATTATGGATCTATCCATTTTTCATTATTGATAACCTTACAGTTAATTATGATTATATTAAGACATTATGTTAGTAATATCTCTATGCATGAACCAAATAACTGTACTTTGAATTTAAATATAGTCTCTGTATCATTTCTGATTAGGTGAGCTGTAAGAACACATACATAAATACATTTTGATCAGTTCTGTCAATGAAAAGAGAAAAAGCTTGGTTATGTGCCATATTCTTGCATCATCTTGATGCCTCAGAATGGACTAAATCAATTGAAAGAT